GAGTAAATTAGACCGATTCTTAGAATTCCAGGTGCACTAAGCATTGTTGAGGCTTTTAGTTGTCATCTTGCAGGAAACTAAAGTATTGCTGGATAAGTATTTGCCTTCAAAACTGGTAAGACTGTGTAGTTTTACCGCCTACGAAATTTTGTCGTCCATCATGATCGATAGCAAACAATGCAACTAGCGAGCTTCCTTAATCGAAGCAAATACTAATAATGAGCCCTCGACCTGGCAAAACCGAAATTACTTTCATACTGACTGTGCTGTTTACCAACGCTGAGCAATTAAATTCGAACTACAAGGTAGTAAAATATATATCAACTGTGTCAATCCATATCGGCATGGAACTTAACATAACATATGGAGCTCTTGTTCTCACTGAATAGTCAGCAAGGAAATCAACTAAAGTAGTCTCACGCCAAAATTCCGGGAAGAAATCTGTGTTTATTGTTTTCCTTTAACTCCAGAGCTGTTAGATGTAGAGGCAAAGAATGGCGTTCCTTCACATAAACACTATTAAAGTCAATATTAAAAATTACGAAAAGTTCTTTTTTTTTATTTTTGTTAAAATGTAGTCGTTTACCATGATTCCTCAGTTTGATTTCAATGGCAAGTCAGAGCCAACAGCACAAGTGTAGAACAGGCCACTCAATGTTTCTCGGAATTCCAAAAAAAATCAACAAAACGTTATCATATGTCAGAGGAGTATTACTGTTTTCACTGGCGCTTAATTTAAATCTCTATCTCTTATTTAAAGGTTTTGCTCGGTTGCATTTTGCAAATCCTGCAATACATGTATATATACATATATGTGTTACGCAAAACCTTCGTGATAATGCAAATATAAAGCAAGAAGTTTCCATGCTTGAAAGGTTACACGCCATAATGGGTAAACAAGACATGTGCCACACACTAAAAGTTGATCAATTTTTCTAGGAAATTGGTCCCCACTGAATACTAAAGGTGCATCAGCATCAAAGGAGCATTTTCAGTTTCGATGGCATATTCAAAGAGCCTCTGATCTTGGGCCTCAAAAGGTTCTTTGAAAACCTCTTTTTAAACTGGTAAGAATGTGAAAGTTTCTTGTCATAAAAAATAGAAATCGTGC